ATAGGTAGGGCGTGTACCCCGGTCAGGGCATGCACCCTGGTCCGAGAGCACCATATCCTGCCCCGGGAGCATATCCCAAAACGAGAGCACAACCCAGTCCGATGCATACCGGGTCGGGGCATACCCCGGCTTGGTGTACGCACTGGTCAGGGATTGCACCCGGGTCAGGTGCGTGCCCTGTCCAGGATCATACCCAGATTGGGTGTGTACCCCGGTCGGGCGTGTACCTGGCCCAGGAGCGCAGTATCCCGATTTGGGAGCGTATCACAGCCTGGGAGTGTACCTGGTCAGGGTGCATACCCTCGTCAGCCTGCGTACCCTGGTCCGGGACCACGGTATCCCAGCTCGGGAGTGTATCCGGGCTAGGGAGCGTACCCGGTCGGGGCGCATACCCTGGTCCAGGAGCACAGTATCCCCACTCGGGAGTGTATCCTGCCCAGGAGCATAGCCTGGTCCAGGAGCGTACCCGGCCCGGGAGCAGAGTATCCCGACTTGGGAGTGTATCCTGGCCCGGGAGCGTACCCGGTTGGTGTGCGCACCCTTCTCCAGGAGCACGGTATCCCGACTCGGGAGTGTATCCCAGCCTGGGAGCATAACCTGGTCCAGGAGCGCATCCAGCCGGGGAGTGTATCCGGTCGGCATGCGTGCCCTGGTCCGGGAGCACCGTATCCCGACTCGGGAGTGTATCCCAGCCTCGCAGCGTAACCTGGTCCAGGAGCGCACCCAGCCGGGGAGCGTACCCAGTCAGGGCAGTACCCTGGTCCGGGAGCATGGTATCCTGACTCGGGAGTGTATCCCAGCCTCGCAGCGTAACCTGGTCCAGGAGCACATCCAGCCGGGGAGTGTATCCGGTCGGCATGCGTGCCCTGGTCCGGGAGCACCGTATCCCGACTCGGGAGTGTATCCCAGCCTGGGAGCGTAACCTGGTCCAGGAGTGCACCCAGCCGGGGAGTGTATCCGGTCGGCATGCGTGCCCTCGTCCGGGAGCACCGTATCCCGACTCGGGAGTGTATCCCAGCCTCGCAGCGTAACCTGTTCCAGGAGCGCACCCAGCCGGGGAGCGTACCCAGTCAGGGCAGTACCCTGGTCCGGGAGCATGGTATCCCGACTCGGGAGTGTATCCCAGCCTCGCAGCGTAACCTGGTCCAGGAGCGCACCCAGCCGGGGAGCGTGCCCAGTCAGGGCAGTACCCTGGTCCGGGAGCATGGTATCCTGACTCGGGAGTGTATCCCAGCCTCGCAGCGTAACCTGGTCCAGGAGCGCACCCAGCCGGGGAGTGTATCCGGTCGGCATGCATGCCCTGGTCCGGGAGCACCGTATCCCGACTCGGGAGTGTATCACAGCCTGGGAGCGTAACCTGGTCCAGGAGCGCACCCAGCCGGGGAGTGTATCCGGTCGGCATGCGTACCGTGGTCCGGGAGCACCGTATCCCGACTCGGGAGTGTATCCCAGCCTCGCAGCGTAACCTGTTCCAGGAGCGCACCCAGCCGGGGAGCGTACCCAGTCAGGGCAGTACCCTGGTCCGGGAGCATGGTATCCTGACTCGGGAGTGTATCCCAGCCTCGCAGTGTAACCTGGTCCAGGAGCGCACCCAGCCGGGGAGTGTATCCGGTCGGCATGCGTACCGTGGTCCGGGAGCACAGCATCCCAACTCGGGAGTGTATCCTGCCCGGGAGCATAGCCTAGTCCGGGAGCGTACCTGGCCCGGGAGCAGGGTGTCCCAACTTAGGAGTGTATCCCGGCCCGGGAGCGTACCCTAGCCCGGAGCATGCCCCGGCTCAGGCGTGTGTGCCGGGCTGGGATCGTACCCCTGGTCGGGTGCGCACCTGGTCCAGGATCATACCAGACTGGCTGTGCACCCCGAGCTGGGGCACGTGCCCTGGTCCAGGAGCGCATCCCGGGTCGGGTATGCACCCCCATTCTGGGATCGTACCCCAGCTTGGACACGTACTCCAGTCTGGGAGCGTAAACCAGTCAGGCAGGTACAGGAGGCAACCAACCCATGTTTCTCTCTCGCATCAATGTCTCTCTCTCTCTCCCTTCCTCTCTCTCTAAACTCAATAAAAACCTATTCTGGATAAGGATAAAAGAAAATAGCAAAAATTAATCGGCAGCCAGAGTGTTGGGAGAGCAGATTTGTTTGCTTGCTTATTTTATCCTTTTTTCACATTCCAAAAGTTCTGTGATTTCGTTGATTTATGAAAAAATCAACTAAATATGAAAAAAACCCTGTAAGAACAAAATAATACAGCCCATTTAATCTCATCTCCTTCCAAAATATATTTCACTGAGATTTCTTATGCTGATAAGAGAAACTCGTGTTCACTACACAAATATGGGCTACTCGAAAAAATATAAAAGATAAAATTTTAACATATTAATTCTAAAATCTAGATAAAGTCGATGTTAACATTTTGGTGTACTTTCGTTATTTTTAAAACCATAGTTGTTTGATGGAATTGGAACTGGAGCATATATAGGGTTTTTTTTTTCCTTAAACGTTAGAGACATTTTCATTTTCCATGACATTACTTTTGTTTCAAACACTATTTCTGGCGGTTGCCTGAGCGTCCTCTGCGTCATACCCTGCCACGGGGCGCCCTTGTTTTCCCCGTAAGCTGCTCTCTTCTCCTGGCTTTTACAGATTATGCTGCGCTGAACATCACTGTACAAAAAAAAAATTGTCACTTTTTTTCGGATTATGTCCTAGAGATTAAGTCCTAGAAGTGAAATTACAAGGTCAAAAGTTAAAAATATTTAAAACGCCCTTCCTATCTTTTCACGCTGCCTGAAAGGTGGCTTTAATTTACGTATGCGGGCAATGATGATACCTTTCCAATCCAAGAAAAAAAAAAGAATTTCTTTTAAACTGTATTAAAAGGTAAAAACGGCATCATATAGTCCTTTAGATGAGCACCCTCTTTCCTTGTTCGGAGGCGGCCTTGGCTTTACTGTGGGTCGCCCGCGCGGTTGTATTTTTTTTTTCCTGTCAGGATGCATTTATTTCATATCCATTTGAGCAAGTTCGTTATATACCTCAAGTATTATTTATTCAGTTAAAATATTTATGACAAACATATCCGCGGATTGTTCTTTGGTTTCTAATTTTATTAGCACATCTGGAGTGCCAAAGTTTGCATCTTCATGTAAGAAAATAACAGGTTTTCCCTTTGTGGTTTGCTCCATGGCTTTTCATGTATTAAAAATCCATCTCGATACTCACCTGAATGTTCCACCTAGATTGATTATTAAATGTCCATTTTAAAAAGTTGTCTTTAATTTGCCTTGAACTATTTTACTGGTTGCTGGGAGATATAATTGGAACTTGACTTTCCCAGCCAATTTTCCCATTACAGTTACTGATGCATATTCCTTTTCCTTATTAATTTGTGCTTCCTCTTTGTGCCTTGTGATTAGGTTTCACATCTACTAGATCCTCCTTCTGGGCCACTCTACTCTATTTCATTTATCTGCCTGTTCTTGAACGAACATATTACAATGTATCAGTTGAAACTTCATACTTTCATATCCTGTATGACAAGTTCTCCATGCCATTCTTTTTCAGAAACACCTTATTCTAATCAATTTATTCATCCAGATGAAATTTAGAATTTTGACGCAGTTCCCCCAGATCACATGGAATTCTGGTTGCATTTGTTCCTCTCCAGGGTCAGAGTACTCTGGTAGCTTTCTTCATATAGATCCTGCTCAAATTTTTATTTCTAAGCAATTTATTGTGACTATGACAAAGTGGATTCCCCACCCTCCCTGCTTGGGCTGCTACGAATTATTGTCAGAATAACAGAAAGCAAGTTGTGTGGGGTTTTTTGTTTTTTGTTTCTGAACACTACTACCAATTCTGAGAATGTCTTAAATGCTTCTGTTGGGACTTCTAGATGGACCATCACACCTACAAATAATGATACTTCGGCGTCTTCTTTCTCATTGTTGGACTTCTTGTTTCCTGTTTCAGTGCCCTGGCTAGGCCTTGGAGCGATGTTCCACGGGCACGTGATAACGGCATACCGGTTTTGTCCCATTTTACCAAGAATGAGAATGATTCTAGTACTCACGCCTCTGTTCCGAGGCCGCTGACAGTTCGAAGCACCTTTTTAAAAACCATGTTCGGAAAGTCTCTCTCAAGGAAATGACAAGTGGGTGAAGTGAAACTAGATAGAACTTTTTAAAAAAGGGGGGATGATGTGTCGGGCAGGCGTGGGGGCGCCGGCTGCTCTTGCCCACCAACCCCCCCCCCCGCCCCCGGCCGGCACGGTCTGATTCTGGACTCTGCATGAATTTTTAATTACTCTGCTTTCGCTTGAAAAACAACAGCAATGGGGGAAGGGCACCAAACTTCTATGTCTAGTTTTCAAGTAACTTAACATTTCCAGAGCGATGCCAACATTTATTCCTGCCTCTCCCAGCGAGTGTTAGGACGGCCGGGCTGCTTCCCCAGCACCTCGGCCCTAGCGGCTCTTGAGCCAGGGCCCGCAGACCCTGGGTTTCTGGAAACGCGGACTTGGCAGCGTTTCAGGCTGGGGTCTGAAGTCCAACGTCATGCTAGAGGCGTCCTCCGACTGTGGGTCGCGGGAAGTGAGCACGTGGGGCAGGGTGCTGTCGTCCCTCCCCCCACCCTGGGAATTGCCCTTCCTGTGCCTTTTCATCTCAAAATCCCCCAGGCAGAGCCTCCCGGTTCCGAACATCGCTATCCCAGTTTCTTCCCTGGTTCTTTCCGAGCCCCTTAAGGCAACTGGGTTCCACCCGCTGGCTTTTGTAAACCCGAAAACCCGGGCCAGACGCCCACCTTTACGGCCACGTAGACGCTCTCAGCTGGGATCTGAAGGCCCCAAGCAGGGGCGCGGGGCGGGGTTGCGGGGGCCTGGGGGCGGGGCTTCGCACCGGCCAGCTCCGCTCAGCACCGCCCCCGCGCTAGCGCGTCCTGGCCCCGCGCCGGCGGCTGCTGGACCCTCCCGCATGCCGTCCTTACCCAGCCTGCCCCGCGCAGCCATCCCCGGAAGTGGGTTTCGCTTCCTCGGAAGCGGCGAGTCGGTGCCTGGGCCTCGCCGGGTGGTGGCGGCGCCCGGTGGCGCAGCTCGCGGGCAGGGTCGGGCCGGGCTGCCGCCATGGCCGGGAGTGAGGACCTGTTTGACGCCATCGTGATGGCGGATGACAGGTGGGTCCCCGCCCTGTCACATCCTCTCTCAGCTGCTGGGCTGCGGTGGCCGCTCGGGCATGGGGTCCCGCGGGCTTGGGCCCTGGGGAAGCGCTCTGTGGCCCTGAGGGAGGCGGACACATGTGGGGCCGAGATGCTATTGATCCTTTTTCACCTCTCGGCCGCTGGGGCGGGCGCCACGTGCCCAGCTGCTCCCGCAGACCCGCCTCCCCTGTCTGAGGCTGCCCCCAGCATCTGCTCGGGCTAATGACTGCCTTTCTCCAGGGACACCGCGTTTTCGGCTGGGACAGACCTTTGCCATCTGGGAACTTCCCCCTTTTCTTGTTCCTCCAGTGGTGGGACATACGGCAGCATTCATGGACATGCTGATAAATGTGTCAGACGTCACCCCTTTCCCTCCAGAGCCCCTGGGGAGCGCGTGGGGCGGTGACCGGGGCCGGGGCGGAGGTGGTGCGGGCTGTGAGTTGCTTCGTGCCTACTGAGACAGCAAGAGATGTCAGTCAGTGGCTGACATTTATTTACAGCTTGTGAATCTGACACAGACTTGAGTGTTGAGCCCCCTTTATTTATTTTAGCTCCTATTATTCACCCCCTCTTGCAGAGGAGGCAGCGTCACTGTTCAGGGTCGCACAACCCATAGCCAGGGCCTGTAGATTCTGCCTTCATAGGGGCTCCAGCCAACCCGCACCCCCTTGCGCGGCTGCGGTTTAAGATGCTGTTTCTTCTGTCGAGCCCTCAAAGTCAGAGCCTTTATCATACGCCATGGGCCACGGTCACTGTGCCTTTCGTGGTGATCTGATGGCGTGTCCCTCTGCTAGTCCCCTCGGATGTGATGGAAAGCCCTGCGTGCATTTTGCAGTTATTAGGAAGCAACTGGCTGAGTGGTGTCTCTTACAGACTCACAGGACTTGGGCTGCTGACTAGTCACCGAGGAGATTTTAAAAAGCAGATCTCTATCTAGGCTGTACTCTGGGCCTGCTGAATACCGGGGTGAGGCTCTTGGGTGTGTCTCTCTGACATTTCCCTGCATGAGTCTGGTGTTCCACGAGGTTTGGGAACCGCTGATGAGCCCACGCGCCTCACTGCACACGAGGCACAGAGACTGGCCAGAGGACAGACTTAGGGGTACAGCGGGGACCGGAAGCTAAATTTTCAGACTTAAATTCTGCCCTCTCTGCCCTGGCCGGGGAGCTCGGTTGGTTGGGGTGTATCCCGATACACCAAGCCTGTGGATCTGATCCCTGCTCAGGGCACGTACAGGAAGCAGCCAGAGAGTCTGTGGATAAGTGGAACAGCAAATCAGTGTATGTCTCTCTCTCCCCCCCTTTTCTTTCTAAAATCAATCAATCAAATCAAATAAAATTCTATACTTTTTCTACTATTCTGTGTCGTGTTTTGTGAGGTCTGGGTAATATGGGAGAGGAAAGTTTTCCAGGAAGAATACTCTTTGTCCTGCTGACCTGATGAAGCTTGCTTCTTCTCCGGCACAGGTTTCACGGGGAAGGCTATCAGGAAGGCTATGAAGAAGGCAGTAGTCTGGGTATAATCGAAGGAAGACAGCACGGCACGTTGCATGGAGCTAAAATTGGATCCGAGGTGAGTGGGAGCCTCCATTGAGAAGGGACTCCTTTTCAGGTACAGTTTATAACTCACTTTGATGATCAGTGTGGGTGAGCCAGAACCTCAGGCTGCTTACAGTGGCGGTGGACTCGGCAGAGCATGGACAGAGAAATAGCCTCAGCACAGGGCCGACGGCGCACGTGGCCAGTAGAGCTAGTGCACCCTGTGTGCGGCTGGGGCGTGAGAAGACAGCCCCCAGTCACCTCCTGTGCCATGAGCCTGTCATGGGGCTGCCTCCTGCCTTTAGCCAGCTGAGTCCTCACCCAAAGGATGGGTGCTCTGTGTCATGTGGAAATACTCCATTCTCGTTGAGGGTGAGATTCCGTAATGCCCCCTCTCTGCTGCCCTTGGTCCTACACTGGCCCTCGCCCGCGGACAGCTGGCCCTACGTGCGCTGTCTAGGTGGCCGTGACTGTTCGGGATCTGTTGCTGGAGAACGAATCACCACAAAACGTATGGGTTTGAGTCAGCAGACATTGATGCTTCCCCGATTCTGAGGGTCAGGGAGCAGGGTCCAGAGCCGCCAAGCTGGGCGATCGTGGCTCCGACAGCGCTGGGTCAGCGGGTCCCGACTGGGGCCAGAGGAGCGCTTGTGAGATGGCTCGCCCGGCTGTCGTTCTCGCCTGTGGACCCATCTGGGGCTGCTGCTGTGCCCCCCGACCCCTGAGTGAGTGGTCCGAGACTGCAAGGCAGAGGCAACACTGCCAGGTCTAGCCTCAGACGTGATGTGCTGCCTCTTCTTCCGTGTCCTGCGGGTGGCACTGGTCACCCCAGGGCCGTGGGAGGGCCAGCCTAGAGGCTGGTTGCCCTGCTGATGACTGGGCCTGCCGTCCCGTTGCCTGACGTTCAGCACGTGCTCGAAGAGCAGCAGCGTGAGGAGCCCCGCTGCCCTGCGCCCGCCCCCAGGGCAGAGAGCGCGAGTAGTGGGTCAGGTGGAGCCGGCTGCCTGTTCATTTCACCCTGAATGTTCTGTGACTTCACAGATCGGGTGCTACCAGGGCTTCGCTTTTGCCTGGAGATGCCTCCTGCACAGCTGTGCGACGGAGAAAAACAGGTAAAGCTGGAGCCTCCTTTCTTCCTCGGGGTGGGGACACCAGAGCTTGCCGTGGCCTCGGGCAGTTAATGTCTCGGTCTCCTCATCTGCAAACCGGAGAAAATAAGCTGCCAAACTTGAACGTTCCATGAGATTAACAGGAAATAGCATGGCCGTTCCCCCTTGGCTACAGTTTCAGTCAATTGTCCAAAAATATGAAATGGAAAATTCCAGAAATAAACAATTCATACGTTTTAAATCGTGCAGGTTAAGAGTAGAGTACGGTGATGAAGTCTCACGCTGTCCTGCTCTGTTCTACCTGGGACATGGGTTGTGACTGTGTCCAGCGGATCCACGCTGTGGACGCTCCCTGCCCGTGGCCGCGCTGGTGTCTCCGGGCTTGTGTTCACTCACCTTGTTTTGTTTAACATCGGCCCCAAGTGATGGCCATGCACCAGCAGAGCTGCTGGCAGCCTGGACACGCCCTGGAGAAGCCACCGGGCGCTTCCCGCAGTGGGGGCGGGGTTTGCAGATAGGAGAGAACAGTGTGTGTGGGGTTTGATACTGGCTGCGGTGTCAGCACCCGCTGGGGCTGTTTGAATGTGCCTCCCGTGGGTAATGGGGGGCCGCTGTAAATACAAAGGTCTGGGCACAGGTCTGGTGTTATTCCCAGGGGTTCCCGTGTGCCCCAGCTTTTCCCTGCAGTGTCAGAGATGTCGGTGGCCTTTGGGTCCTCCATCAACACAATAACGTTGAAATTGGTTGTATCTGCTCTTTTGTCTGTACCTCAGATGTCTCATAAACAGGTACAAGCGTCTCAGTGTGCGAGGGCTGGGAAACGCTGACTTCGTTTTCACCTGTTACTTAATGTGGCCCCCTAGGTCTGATTAAAGTGAGACGACGCGTTTAATGGGTTAACAGCTGCCCGGTATTTGGAAGCACTGAGTACCTGTTGGCTAGTTCAGGCTTTTACAACTGTTCTTACTGTGTGTGGCTGCTGAAGCCCCGGGACCCTGTTGCATCTGTCTTTATTCTGAAGTTGGAAACGAACCCTTAAGTAAAAGGCCCCCGTGATTTGGCCATCCCGCCTGGATGCTCATGGAACCGAAACTCAGGATGCTCCGTGTCCTGATGCCTGGCGGCCTTGCCTAGCCGGGGAGGGGCGCGGGGAGAGTGGACTCTGGGACAGAAAGGCGGCGGGCCCGTCTTTGTGCCTCATTGCCTTGTGTGAAATAGTTGGTGCTCCTAGAGCTCGGGCCACTCCCACGCTGAGGTGGGAGAACCGGGGTGCCTGCCCTCCAGCCCGTCGGGGTCCCTGGGCCCCTCCGTTTGCACGGGTAGCTGGAGATTGACCGGTTCTTGCATCCTCGGGGGGGCATCTTCCTCTGCGAGCTCAGCGGGAGTGCAGGGTGGCTGGTGACCTGGTTGCAGTAGTGGCTGGCAGCCGGTGGCCCCACTGGGTGGCAGTCAGAGCCGGGCCTGGCACGCCACCCCTGTCATGCAGGACGGGGGCAGGCACGCTCTTGGGGTTCTCCGCGCGTCGCCCCGGCGCCCGGCCCGCGGGCTCGTCCCATACCCTGGCGCCCACCTGTGCCCAGAGCAGGGATCCCCGCGCCTAGCCTGTGTGTCAGGGAGCAGGCAGCGCCACGTGGGCGCGGGCAGGTGGATGCCCCCTCCCCGCCCCCAGCAGCTCCCCAGGGCCTCTGTGGAGCGCAGCCTAGAAGCCTTGTCTTAGAGCAAGAGCTCGCAGACCGTGGCGTTGGCAGGTCAGTGCAGCCCTGAAGAGTAGCGGGAGACTGAAGCTCTTCTCTTTACGTCCCAAGGCAGGGCATTAAGGAACACCTGCCATCGCTTTATCGCTCAGTCGGGTCGGGCTTTTCACGCCAGCGGCGCCGCGGACAGCAGCTTCTCAGCTGCAGGCTGGCGCCCCGCGCCCGGGGCCCGCGGCCTTGCAGTAGACTCGGAGACGCTTCTCCGCCCTGCGAGCAGCCCGGGGAAGCTCACGTGGACCGAGGCTTGGCTGGGGCTGAGCGCTGGGGCTCCTGCAGCCTTGGTTTTGGTCCACCAGCTGAGAGCGTTCTCGCCCTCCCCGCGTGTGGGCCTCTGCTGGGTGTGTTTGGAGTAGCTTCACTGACCAGGGAAGAATGAGTTGCTACTTGCAAAGTTGGAACTGGGTGGTGTTCTTCGTGCTGAGTTAGAACACAGCCGTTTCCCACACGTCGGCTCCTGCCTGCCATCTCCCTGGAAACCGAGGGCTTTGTTGCCTTAATTAACTTGCTCTGACCTTTCAGCGTCCTGCACTTTCTCAGAGAGGTAGCCCTGGTAGTCCCAGTCGGATGATTTGCCCTGGCAAACCCACTCACTCGTGTATCTAAAGCCGGCCGATAGAGCAGGTGCACAGGAAGTCCCGGTTGCTTTGAATGGCTGTGGATTCATGTTAAGGATAATTCTTTGAAATCCCTGTTAATCGAATGCTAGCATACTCCTGGCCCTCAGATGATCCGGCGTGGCCCCGGGGAGGGTGCCCGTCAGGATCCCTTGTGGCACATTACCCAGACGTGCACATATGTGACTGTTGTTACACTCCCCTGCCGCCCCAAGGAGAGAGGCTTGGCCTCCAGGATGCGGCGGAAGCGGGGAGACTCCAGTGATCGAGCACTACTTTGACCTAGGTTCTGCGCTTTGCATGGGTCTCCTGTGGTCTTGAAAGCTGGGGAGGTCATTGTTACCCCCCATTTTACAGATGAGGACGCTGGGGCCCAGAGAGGTTACATAACCGAGGGCCAGGCAGCATCGCACCCAGGGCTGCCCGCCCTGCAGAGCCACCTGGCCGCCCGGCAGAGCTCTGCCTCCCTTGGGAAGCGGGTGGGGCTCCTGCTGTCAACGCCCTCCTGGCCTTCGCAGGGAGGGGCCTTGCCGGTTCACCCGCTGCTGAACTCTAGGAGCCAAGTGTCCAGGTCGTGGAAAGTCCCCACATCCAGAGCAGGCTTGGTCATGCCCGGTGCTCCGTCCTGTCCTGTTTTGTCTGTCCCCAAGCCTGTGACCTAGGGGAGCAGCGGTCAGTGTGCTTGGTGGGCAGGCCTCAAGGCCAGGGCACGTCTGTCCGCTCGGTTCATACTTGACAAGGGGCGCGGCTGTGGGGGAGAGCATGTTGCTAAGTAGATAAATACTCAGCATAACAGGAAAATGAATCGCCCGGCTTCGGAACTCAGTCCGTGAGCGCGCCCGCTGTTTCTAAGCGAGCGATCACCATTGTTGTTACGTACGTGAGCCTGTGGTGTGCGGGGACTAAAAGCCTTTCATTTCTGTGCTTTTCAGCAAAAAGATGAAGGTCTTAGAGTCGCTGATCGGAATGATTCAGGAGTTCCCTTATGATGACCCTGCTTATGCCAAACTGCACGAGGACTTAGACAGAATTAGAGGGAAGTTTAAGCAGGTTTGTCTACTGCCTGTTTCTTCCGGTCCGAGTGGCGGAGCCCCGGGGGCTTGTGTGGCTGAGGGCCTGGGCACTGCGCGGGCCCGGGGAGGGGTCCGCCCGTCCTATGGGGGCTGGGTAGGGAGAGGCGTTAGGACGTCTGTGAGGGTCAGTGATGTAGACGAAGCCACAGCTAGAGATACTAATGCTCTCATTTGTGAGTCAAAATACACAACATTATAAAAACCATCTTTTCTTTTTTGTGTTTTCAGCTTTGTTCATTACTAAAGGTTCAGCCGGACTTTAAAATTAGTGCAGAACGTTTTGGAGTTTCATTTTGAGGATGACAGATGAACAAAGACAAAACACGAAGGAACAGATGTCCGTATGTGAAGTGTTTAAAACTGTTATTAAAGGAGAACAATGGCAGGGTGTCGGTTGTTCTGGGGGGAGGGTCCCAGTGTGGCCAGTGAAAGGCTCCCTCGGGCACCTGCCAGCGGCGCCTCCGCGCCCCGCGGCCCTCCGCTCGGGCCTGCGCTCTGTCGTGCCGTCCGTTCTGCGGTCTGGGTGCGGCCCTGGCAGAGTCCCGGGACAGTTTTATAGAAAGCCAGAGTGATGGGTCGCTGTGTCATGAGTGGACAGGAAGTATTGGCGAGGGCGGTGACATTTCCTGAGCCTTAAGATGCGCCGGCACTGTGTGGCGCGTCTCCTGTTTTCTTTGCTCTCGTCCATAGTGCACGAGGTGGGTGATTCCCGTTCTACAGGTGAGGGAACTGCGACCCACGGCCCCTGGCTGAGCGGAGAGGCCAGCGGCCCCCGGGAGCCTGGCCGTGCCACTTGCTCCAAGGTGTGGGGCGGCGCCCCTTTAACAACGGCTGAGGGGAGCAGACAGCTGAAGACTGAGCCTGGGGCTGCCACCGTCCCCATCCCCATCGGAGGAGTCCTGGGGTCCACCCCACTGCAAGGGCAGTGGCGCACAGGGCGAGGCCCAGGGCCGCTGAGCTGCTTGTCGCTCGGGAGGTCCTCCCGGAGCTGAGGGGCTCTCGGCATTTCCTGCGCTTCACCCGTGCCCACGCCCCCCCTTCCCCTGCCCTGCCTCCCCTCCTGTGCCCGGCTGCCCTGCGCCTGTCAGGGAGTGTCTCCGAAAGCCAGGAGTGAAGTGGGTAAAGAGGTGACTGAGAGTCGGCTCCAGTTTTCTCGGTCATTCACACCGTCTTGGTGAACCGTGTCCTGGGGCTCCGGCCGCGGCCCCCAGTCACAGAGACGTGGGCTGGGAGTCTCTGCGGAGCCGGACGGCGTGTCCCTTCCTCACTCCATGCCTCGCTGGGTGCTGAGGTAGAGAGAGCGAGCCGCGGTTGCCGGAGCGCAAGGCTCAGTCCCTGTCCTGTGCTCTGTGTGGGCCCTCGCCCACCGCCCGCAGGCCCCAGCACCCAGTGGTCCTGGGAATGCAGACGCCGCCTGGGCTGCCCAGGGGCAGGAGTTGGGGGTCCACGCTCTCCTTGGTAGTCTTGGGTGTCTTCTGTTACCTGCTTTTATAATGTATTATTTTTATAATTGGAGAAACAATAAATAGCAGATTTCAAAGCAAAACTCAGTCTGGGACCATTCATAACCCAACATCCAGCTGCTGCCTCCCTTGCCGGGTGTGCCTGGGGTCCGAGTACACAGGAGGGCGGGCAGTCTTCTGCCGGCGAGTTCCACCAGCACATGTGGAAGCTGCAGCCGGGAACGGCGCCTGCGATGTTCAGGCAGGGCCCTTTCCCACGGCCCCGCACGGCTGCCTGTCAGCGCTTGATGCTGCTCCCTCCTGCCCACACGCGCCGCCTGCCGCCCGCGCCCCTCAGCCTCAGCCTTTCCCGAGCAGGTGTCCCGTGAGTGTGGGCGGCCACTCCCCTCTCTGCCCGGTCACCGGCGCCAGGCTGCCTCATTGATCCCCAGGGTCTGCAGTCACTGGACTTGGTCCTCACACAGGCAGAGCCCGCCACAGCCGTCGCGTCCGCTCCGTCCCGGGCAGGAATGCGCATGCCGCCCCTCCAGCGGGTGAGGCGGGAGAGGACGTCTTCCGGGGCTTCTGCGAGAGATGCTGCCTCTTTTGGAAATCGTCCTTTGGGGACGGGATGCCTGGCATTACTAAGGCAACTGGTACCCCAGCTCTGGATGTAGCCACCCAGATATGGCAGAGCAGAGGGCAAGGGAGGACCTGGCCCTGTGTCGCCTGGCGGGCGGACGCGGCGTGACGTGCCACAATGGCAGCATCCTGCAAGGCCGTGCGGTGGGCCTCTGTCATTCGCCGGCCGTCCATCTTGCCGCCTGACTCTTCAGGCTTGGGAGAGGAGAAGCCGCTCCGCTTGAAAGTGGCGGTGACTGCATTTTACTTTCCTGGAAGGGCAGTCGTCGGGCGCGAGCATGTCCGTCGACCCTTTAGAGCGGCGGGCGGGGCGCCCTGGCGGAGGGGGCAGTGCCTGCCCACGGGCCGCGTCGCCGCCCTGAAAGGAGCCGTGCTCTCTTTTCTATTTGTTTCACGGTCCCCCTGTTGCCCTCCACCCAGCGGTGAGAAAGAGTGAAGAGATTTGAGGGAGGGGTCGGAGGCCTCCGGGGCGGCAGCTCTGCCGTCCCCATGTCACTGAGTTGTCTGTGCCCCCGTGAGGTGGCTGTGCCCCGCTTCCCCAGTGGAGGCGTGGCATCCTGTTGAGTGACGTGCCAGTGGTCACAGCAAGTGGCTGGCCAGAAGGGAGCCCTCCTTTTCTGGTCATCTGTGGCTGGCCCTGTAACCAGTGTCGCGTCTAAGTGGCCCGAGGCCAAGATAATGGGTTTACAGAAAAGGAAAGGGACAGTGCTGGCCGTGTGTGCAGCAGAGGCAGAGATGGAACCATCCTCCTAGACCTTGTCAGCAGGGCTCACAGAGGGGTGCTCGGGCGCCTGGGGAGTCTGGAGCTGCAGTGGGGGTGTTCGGCTTTGCCTGGGGAAGGAGGGCAGGGACGGCTTCCTGGAGGAGGTGGCCTTTGCACTGCTGGCTTTGTGAGCTCTCGCGTGACCTCAACACGCCCCTCCTGGAGGACAGCAGTGTGCTTTAGCGAGGTCAGAACCTAGCATCAGCAGACGAGGACAGCCGCGTCCCCACAGTCGATGTGAGGAACTGGCTTGCGGCCCAGGAGACTGCGTTGCCGAGCCGGTGTGATGGGTCAGAGGAAAGAGGGTATTCAGTTCAACTGTCACAGGACACAAGAGTCCTGCAGGTGAGGGACCAGGCTCTGAATGGTTCCGTGGCTTGTCTGAGCCCACAGGACTTGCTCAGCTGGGGCCTCGCAGGTAGTTTCCTAAGAAGGGAGGTGCTCCTTGCTCGTGAACACCTCTGTGACTTCCGCTGCGGCTGATGAAGCGCCTCGCCGGGCACGGAGGCCCTGCTGTCCTGTCCTGGGGGCGCCCACGCCCTGCGGGGTGGCCACATCTCCCTGGTGCCCTGTACCAGGGCTGCTGGGCCCGGTGGGGCCGGCGGCTCCATCTGGGGCGGCACCTGAACGTGGCTCTTCTTCCGTCCACTCGAGGACGTGCCACACGGGGAACCTGACGTGCTGTGCGGCTGCCGGCTCCTGCAGCCCGGGGTTTCGGCAACATCTGTTTCCAGGGGGTGGGCGCCCGGAGTGGCAGGTGCTCCTTGCACCGGCCCCCTGGCGCGGGAGTTCAGGCCCACCTGTGGCGGGTCGACGGTGCCAAAGCCCTGGTGCCTGGGCCCTGTCAGAGGGGCCTCGCTTGGACACAGGGCCTCGCTTGGACACAGGGCCTCGCTTGGACACAGGGCCTTGGCAGAGGGCTGGGCCTAAAGGGAGTGGGCCCGCATCTGTGCGGCGGGGTCCGTGAGGAGAAGACCCACGGAGAGAGGAGAGGGCCCTGTGCAGACAGACATGCAGAGGGAAGGCTGCCACGGGGCCACAGAGGCCATGGTGGGGGGCGGAGGGTGACGCGGCTGTGAGCACAGGAGCACCAGGGAGCGCCAGCTGCCACCGGGGCTGAGAGGGGGTGCCGCCCTGCCGGCGCCCACTGCGACTTCCGATCTGTCGGGTTAAGCCACCCAGCCTGTGGCCGTTTGTTATGGCCACCCCGGGACACAGACGAGGTCCCTCCCTCGGCCCGGGCCATCGTTTCCCCGTGTGCAGAGCGAGGGCGCTGGGCATGTGCAGTCCAGACCCGTGAGGCCGGCACTTCCTCAGGGGTCTGCCTCCACGCCCTGGTCCCGGCCCCTCTGAGCGGCAGGGGGGCCCCAGAAAGACGCTGTCACCGCCAGGCACAGCAGCCCCGGGCCTGCCTGCCGGGGTCTCTGCTGGCTCTATACAGAGGCTGCTGACTTGAAGCCTTGGACACCGGGGGGACCTGACCTTGCCCCGGGCCTCCCAAGCACCAGGGCCCAGTGTGCAGCGGCCATGGGGTGAAGAGGTAGAGGAAGGCTTTGTGTGTTGTCTTCCAGCTCACCGTGGAGGACGACGCCCCTTCTCTGCGAGGCAACCACAATGACCGGCAGGAGCGCAGGCTCCCGGGACACAGACCGGCCCCGGCCACAGCTCCCGGCCGTGTAGCCCCGCTCAGTTGCCTCGCCTCCCTGGGCCCCGGTGTGCTCATCTACGGCCGGGGCAGAAATCCACCACCCCAGCCTGCTGCCCGTCGGGCGGAAAAGGCTCGGCTGGCCACAGCCATACCGATCTGTTTGCCATCGTTGCTGGTGCTTCTGCTCAGCGGTGGAGCTTGGATGGAGACCGTGTGGCCAGCAAAGCCTCCCTGGCCCTTGTGGGAAAGTCTGCCTGCCGATCCTTGGCCGCGAGGGTGGGGTGGACCCACTCCCCTGTGTGCCCCCTGCCTGTCACCTGCCCTAGGAGGGCTCTTTCAAGATTTAGGGAGAATCTGTGCGTTTGACACTTAATACTCGCCCAGGACCCAGTCCGTGCTCAGCGCACGTGAGCTTTTCCCCTCCCTCCCGTGATGGAGCCAGGGGAAGGGGGCTGCCCGGACATGCGGGGCTGGCCTGGGGTCCAGAGGGGGGGACGCTTGGGGGAGACCACTCTGCTCTAGGGGGCGTGTGGTGGAGAGGCCCGTTTCAGCTGCCTGAGCTGATCGTTAGAAGGATTAATGGTCTTTGACAGGCTCGAGGCCACCGGCGGAGGGCCTCGGAGTTCTCTTCCCCATCCTCCTTGAGAGTGGCGGGACCGCGCCCCCGGATGTGGCCGGCTATTGTCTGCCGGGCCCTGGTGTGGCGCAGGCCTGGGGGCCTGAGCTGGGGCTGTGGGAACGGATTAGAGGCCCTGCTCCTGCCTCCCCGCTGTAAACTCGCGATCAAAGACATTCCTGGGATGACAGAGCCCTGTGTGCTCAGAGGCCGCCCAGCGTGCGGGGCGCAGCGTGCCCGAGCCCACGGCTGGGATCGCCTTGTGGGGTGACCGCTGCCCCCACCTGATGCAGAGCCCAGCTGCACGGTGGCCCGGCTTCCAGGAAGCCCCGGGTGGGCTGGGCTCTGAGGGGCGTGGGGAGGCTGGCACTGCAGTGGGGCCCCCAAGGGCCTGGGGCGCCCACCTCTGGGATCAGAGCCGCAGCCCCCTGCTCCAGGGCCCCGCCTCTCCCCGCAGTGGTCCCAGCATGGAACTGTCTGCCCTTAGTGCCCCCACCAGGTCCCGGGGCCTTCCTGGGTCTTCCTGGGCCCCTGGGGAGCCCTCTGTTTCCACTTCCTCACCAGATCCCGCTGGGCCGAGCAGGGCTGCCCTTGTCTCTGTAACTCACAGAGCAGCTCCCACTTCGCAGTGCCCACTGTGTTGCCAGGCCGGAGGTGGGGCTGAGAGGGCCCACGGCCTGGATGGTGGTGCCTGAGCACCCGCAGAGGCGGTGCGGGGGCCCGCAGGGGGCCTGGCACAAGCCTGGGGGGAGAGCAGAGGGGCCACTCCTCAGGGTCAGAGGGGGAGGCAGGAGGCCGCCTGCTGCGCCCTGCAGTCCTGTGGGCGGGGACTTCCAGCCTCGGGAACTAGGGGAGATGCGGGGGGAGGGGGTGAATGGGAGGTGAGGGAGTAGGATGGGCCGAGCCCCCGGACCTTTGATGGAGCCTAAAGTCCCAGGAGGGTTTGGCAGGGAGCAGCAGCAGGGCCCCCTGAGGCAAGGAGCCAGCTTGGGAGGCCGGCGCCCCGGTGAGCGCAGGAGGGCTGCAGTGGGGCGGCGCCAGCTTTGTCTGAGACGCCCCAACAGACCAGTTTCCACCTCCGCGGCAGGCACGAGGCCTTTGGGGCTTCTACGTGAGTCCTGGGCGCCCGAGGAGCTGCGGGAGGCCTGAGCACCGAGGGCTTGAGGTGTCCCCGAGAGGAAGGGCCTTCTAGATGCCTCTCCCGGGGGCTGCCCGCCCGGGAGACAGGCCTTGGGGGACTCGGGACCCTCCCGGCACCAGGGCGTGTCCCGCGCAGGCCCCTCCCTTCCACTGCCCACGCCTCCCATCTGGAAACCATTGAAGACCACCAGGCGCTCGCGGCCCAGCCTCTGCCCTGCACAGGGCTCTCCCTCCCCCTCGGATTCTTGCTGGAGCCCTGTCTGCAGGTTGTTGCC